CTGCGTCAGCATGCGTAGGCTGCAAAGGAACAAGAAAAAGCTTTATTCCGTGCTGAAAAGAGAAGAAAGAAAACACAACATTTTGGCCGTGGAGCCTTCTTCAGGTGTAAAGGCAATCTGAAGAATTCGTTCACAGCCAAAACGTTGTGATTTCTTTCTTCTCTTTTCAGCAGGGAATAAACCTATAACTTTTTCTTTTGCAACCCTTACAGTATCCAGAAACCATTAATACTGTACATCAACCCCAATGTAAACATCACAGAAAAATTCTGTAAAGCACCTGGTTGAATTCAACCAATTTCATAAAGGTAAGTTTATATCTGGAGGCAAAATTCTGCGACAAGAGAGCAATACTTAGCTCACTTCCATAATTTGATCTGACAGACATCTGTGTTCTTATTAATCTGTAGACCATAATTTTAATTAATACTGACACTCTTAATTATAGAAATATCAACATTAATTTCACAAATAACTTTTTTACCTTGTTCTGTAGCTAATGACCTTTTTGTTTAGCAAATTAATCTGCAGACTCTAAAACATAACATTGGGGACATTGTACTTCAGTGTGTATATTTTTCAAGAAGGCCAGAATATAAAAAGAGTTCTGAGTTTACAAGATGTTGACTTCTGCTTTTGGAGATGAAAGCTGCTGAATTTCATCTACAAAATGAACTGCGGAGAAAATCCAAATCAAGTTTCAGTCAGACAGTTTGGAGGTGATTGGAGGTAAAGTGAATTGATGAGATTAAGTGGAAAAGATGCCACAGAAAAAGCAAGGCAAGGCATTTAATAAGCAATGTTACTACAACATATGAACTGGTATACAGTAGATCCAGAACGAGAAAGCCGTTCCTTAATTGGTTGGAAATTACTGTATGTCTCACAGGGAAAAATTGTGTTGCTTTTAAAATTGATAATTCTTGGGAAAAATTTGGGCATTAAAACTTTGGATGCCCATCATAGCATCCATAGCACAACATCATAGCACAAACCTACAAAGACATTATTTCATGGTGCACACTAATTATGCCTTTGAAGCTTATCTCCACCTCAAATTAAATGATCTTCAGTCATTTAACCAATGTACTTAGACCAGGGCACCGCAGCAGATAGTTAAGAGAATAGTTTGGTACTCAGACCGAGAGGAGATTTTCTTAGGAACGGGAATAGATAAGGAGAATAATGTAACCTGCTACAACTTTAGGGAAATCTATTGCAAAAGAAACAATCCAGAAATTCCAAAACATATAATTGAGCCATGCATTGTATAACACATACAGTATAAAGTCACAAACAAAAACAGTCTAATAGTTAAAAAGATACTGTAAAACGAATATATACAATTTATAACATTCCTAATTGTTCTATTGAAATGTAATATTTGATGATTCAGCTTCACAACCATATAATTGTTACTCCTTGTCCTGCAGTATTTCAGGAGAAAATGAAGATGCTACTTGAGTGGAGGTTTTGGCAAAAGAGCAACAGAAACCCCAAACTGCAAATTGATGACTTAATCTGTGTACAGGATGAGATGTCAGGCTGTCACAGGGTGCAACGTTTA